CGCGTAAAACGCCTAAGGGTATTATGTGATCATATGGGCATTCAAATACTCAAACCCATTTCTCATCTTTCGATTAGCCAATTGCCACACAATTCATGTTCAACTCACATCCAGCCACGTCCTCACGTGCAACAACAACATCAAAAAGCTCCCGAGAGAGAGAAACCAATTTTGCACAGAATCGGGCTAAAATTTGGCAATTGTGTAGTAACCGAAACCCTTTCGAAATAAATAGTAATTCGATTCCAAAAATTCTGAATTTTGGATATATCATTGAAAACATCTTGATGAACATTTTTTTATGAGGGGCACAAAATCTAGTTCCAACTGAAAATGGTTCATTTTGTCACTTAAAGTCAGACTGAAATCCACCCGCCAGGACAGATTGTCCGGCCTTCAAAATACATTTCAATCAGTACCCAAATCTCCTTGGAAAGATTTGAAATTTTTGTATGTCATATAAAAAAGTTTCCTTGACAACTTTCATGAAGGAATTTTTCTGAAAAGAGGTCTGAAAAAGTTTATAAAAATTCAGAAAGACACGCCGGTCGGGTGAACAGTAAATCCGGCAGAGTCGTGACGGTCCGAAAATGGACTTCCAAATGCCCCAAAACGACCTTCAAAATTCCAGATTTAATATATGACATACTTCAAGATGTTAGGGTCAACTTCCATGAAGAAAACTTCCTCAAATTCTGCCCACAAAGATCTCCACAAAAATAGCAAAACACAGACGCATAGCAGCAATGAATCCGAGAATCAACCAACATGAACCGTTCAGCAATTCAAGCTCATCTAACCACTAAACCAACTAACATGTCCATTAGTAACCCCTTAGCCTAGTCAAGGGTTAGGAAGCCACTTATTCAAAGCCTAAGCAAGTAAGACCAAGCAAGAAGGGCAGCACAAGTCGCGCCTAGCAGCAGCAGCTCCGGCAGACATACGGGTGGCTCGGCGGCGGTGCTGGTCACTGGCGGACCACAGCTGGGACGGGCACGGGGTGGTGGTGATGGTGAGGGGTGAAGCTGGCCGAGAATGAGGGAGATGAGGGTGAGAATGGGAGAGAATGGCGGTGGTGTGAGGCGAGAGCAGTAACAACGATCGACGGCAGCTTCGGCGACCAGGCGGGCGAACGGCGACGCACACAGCGGTTGGACGGTGGTTGAGGGAGGCGGGCAAAGCTGCTGGTCAGGCTAGAAGGGAGGAGTGGTCGCTGAAAGTGAAGAGAAAAGGGGGGAGATGGTCTGTCGAGAGAGAGAGAGAGAGAGAGAGAGAGAGAGAGAGAGAGAGAGAGAGAGAGAGAGAGAGAGAGAGAGAGAGATGGTGAGTTGAGTGACTTGAGTGGGCCAACTTCCCCCACTATGACTCAACCAAGGGCTATGATTAATTAGTTAATCTCATCAAAGATCCAATGGCTCACATTAAAGCTTCTAGAAGAAAGTCAACAACTATCCAGGGGCAAAAGAGGAAATGAGCAAGAGGAGAGAGGGGCATTATGGTCCAATATTTTTGGCCAGCATGGGGGTAGTAACTTTACCAAAATGCCCTTCCACTTTTCAAATGAACTCAAATAATCCCAAGGGCAAAATGGTCATTTTTCACTCCCGATCCAAATTTCACTTTTCCGACAAATCCGAGTGGCCCTAAGGTTGGCCACGCCAAATGTGACGTCGTCCAATGAATTAGTCGTGGCTTTCGAGAAATTCGACTCCCAAGTCCGGATTCCAAGTAATGGTCAAATTCGATTAAATACAACTTTAATGTATCTTAAACTAACGGGCGGATTTTAGGAGTTACGCGTATCGACTCGTGGCCGATTCGATATCGGGCCACATCTAAGTTTACTCGAGCCATGGCGACCTCGGTTGTCATGTAATTGCGAAAGTTAATCATTAGTTTCAATTGACACGATCGTTCGGATTAGGTTTAGGATCTTTCGAAACTCGTACAATGGTCAAACGGAATCACCCGCGATTCAATTGTATAACATTTGCAAATCATCCCATAACCATCCTTGGATCGGTCTATAATGGCCCAAAATATCTCCTCATCAATTCTTATGGTCGAAGTGTCGATCCACGGCCAAATTCTTAGGTCCACGTACTTGATTCCTAGCTAGCCATTCCCTAATGGTTAGTCTTATCAAGAGTGATCAATTCCGAGTGAGATTTAACTGAAGTGCATCGAAGATATAATCATTTCATAAATCCCGAAAATGGATCGAATTTCAGAATGTTACAATAGTAGCGAGGCTTGAAGATTCATAGTTTGATCTATCATCTTGAGGAAGAAGGAGAGTGAGCTATGTTTGTAACTACTAGAGGATTACTAGTGGATTCCAGTTTGTTGGTGGCTGTTAATCTGGAAGAGTAGACGCAGATTTGATCTAAGCCGAACCACCGTAAATATTTGCGTGAATCTTCTTCTATCTCTTTATTCATTTCATTAATTGTTTGATAGAAACATTGCATTTGATATAATTAGTTTGTTCTAGCATATAGTAATTGCCCCTGCATACATCGAACTGATTTTGATAATTTTTGCAAAAATATATCAAGTTTTGATAATCAATCTATTCACCCCCTCTAGGTTGCATATTTAGCCATAACAGAAATAATTGTAGCAAAAATGGTGCTTGACAAGCCTTATGCTTGTCCATCCTTAAAGCCTACCAAAAAAAAAAAAAAAGGCTAGGGCCAAAGACCCTCTAGTTTACTTGTTTAACATCAATAAATCGGACGAAATCTTTGACTTACTTTCGAAAGGTGGCCTAGTAATTCCAAGTAAAAGAATATTCAGTAAAAAAAATATTTCAAGTGAAACCATTCGTGGAGCCATAACACAGTTAATTGTGTTATTTTTAGAAAAGCAATTTATGAGGCAATTCGACAGGGAAAAATCAAATTTGTCGATGACTAAGGAGCATATTATGACTTTGATTATCTACTTAAGAAATATCGAATGATAAATAAATAATTCAATTCTTTTAAAAGGGAATTTATGTTGACACCAAAAAATGTTGAAATGTCGCAGTCGACAGTTTGGCCGGCGAAAAATCTGTTCCAGGTACAAGAGGAGCGGAAAATGGCCATGTTGAGAACAATTTGTTGATATAGTGTAGCTGGTTGACAAGAAGACTCAATTTAGTTGAGAGAGTTTTTGACGAGAATCGTCAAGTGTCGGAGCAAAAGTCGGTAAATGAAGAAGACTAATTCGGCCAATGGGGAAGAGTGAGCCATGTAACCATCAAAGTAGTTGAGTTAATATAGTTGTCAAAGTAACATAGTCAATGTAGTCGTCAATGTAATGGAGTTGATGTAGTTGTCAACGTAATGGACTCGATATGACCTTTAAGATAGTGGATATATCCTAACTTCTTGTAACCACATATAGGATTAGGAAGTTATTTGTGGATTTAAATTCAATTGCCGGTTGCCTAACTGCCAATTATGGGTTATAGACACCCCAAGTGTTCTCTTTGTAAGGACCCCCCGAATCAATTACATAACTCCATGTTCTTCTATAATTTATCTTTATCTTTAGTTTCCTACAATTTATCTTTCTTGCAAATTAAAATTGTGGGTAACGATTGCTCTCAATAGTCATACTTTTAAATTCCTTGTCATTTACTTTCCCATCCAAAATCAAGAAAGGTCCCTTCACAACCATTGTTGATTCGTATTGATCCATCCATAATTTAAAAGGTATTTCATCAATTTGGTGAAACACCTTTATTCCTCATTAAATTTTTTTCATAAACTCTCTTAGTAAAGAGGGGGCAAAGGCATGTTGCCTTAAAGCACATATATTAAATCATTGTGCATAACTATCATTGGATAGACTCATTTTATAGGTGATGCAGTGCACATGATTAATTAGCGTCGCGAAAACATGGAAGCATGTATGCTTTTTCTTGAGAATTAATGAATCATATTAGCAATAGCTTTTCAAATAGTTGATTCATTCTCCCTTGGGATAAGGACACCACAAGTATCACAACTTTTGTACAATACTTATTTGAGTGCCATAACTTTTAAAAAAATTCGCTTGAGTGCTAAAACTTTCAGTCAATCACTTGAGTGCTACCTAAGTGCCGGAAATCCGACGTGGCATAGTACTTGTGATGAATATTTTAAAAAAGTTTTGGCACTCAAATGCTTGATTAAAAAGTTATATGACCTTAAGTAATCGGAAAAAATGTTATGGTATTCAAATGAGCATTGTACATAAGCACTCAAGTGATCTTAAAAACGTTATAGCACTCAAGTAAATGCCGTACCGAAATTATGTCACTTGTAGTGTCATTTTCCCTTCTCACATATATTAGGCAATATCAACAATCAATAGGAACCACATGTCCTCTCTTAACGCTACGTTGAATTTGTGTATGCAAGTGGAATAATGAATCTCTGTCACACAGCACACAATAATAAGCGGCCATCGTCCAACTATGGCTGAGCACAGCTCGTTTTTGCAAACTGAGTCTTTGAACCTATCCTCATCTCCAGTCTGGACCCATTTTTGAAAAAAAATGGCCTCACTGCATTACCTTATTTGGAATTTCTCTTATATTATCTATTAATTAAAAGAAAGAAGAAGAGAACATTGGAGACTTCTCCATAGGCATACAGAAGTTTTTTTGTAAGCAGTACTTCATGTTAAATAAAAGAAGCTTTCTCTTAAAATGAAATTCTCTGAATATGGTTCCCTTGAACCTTTATACCAAACACAAATAGCTAGATTTGATGCTTTCACAAGCCGGTAAATAACAAAACTTCTGCAATTTATTTAACTTGGACATTTTTGTAAGCACATGAGTATACCATAGGATACAACTGTAGTCCACTTACAACATGAACATAGGGTACAATACAACTGTAGTCTGCTTCCGCTTGCAACATGAACATAGGGTGCAACATAAGATACAACATAGCATATGTGAAGGATATGCTTTATAGTTAGGGCTTATTATCAAGATGAACATGAATCATATAATTTACTCAGTGAAATGGGTGATCTTCATATCTAATCCTGCAATCTTTAAGTTGAATTTGAGCACCCAAGCTTACATCACATATGTCGTACAGATAATGTACAGCTTTTGAGAGGCAATCATTGCAATCAGGCTGTGTCAATGCCCCATTGCACACACCATGGCCGTAATAGGCCCCAGACTTAATATAATAATTGTAACCATTAAGTGATGTATCAGAGCACAAATCCTCCATGGCATAACCTCTGTCAAGTTCATACTCACCCAGAGGACTAAACCGCCTTTCACTGCATATATAATAAACCTCTGTTGTATCAGGAGTACATTTCACAATATTGAAAGTGCAAAAGAGCCCTATAACGGGGAGTTTCACCATATGTGGCATTGTGTTCATGATTTGTCTCTCCACCTATAATTTCCGCAATTTTTTCATTAAAGCTCGGTTGGCATGGTCTATATAAAAGATGTTCTTCTTATAGGTTTCTCCACCAATTTTTGTTTATAAATACGTTGGGAGGTTCTTTCGGATCTTTCTAAGCACATTTTGATAATCATTTTAGATTAGATTAGATTTCATTTAACCTGCATTTATCAGGGAAACGTTTATAACTCTAGGAGTTACTCAAAGGGCAATAGCCTTTAATGGTAAAATTAAATTGTTTAAAAAATCTTGTGCAAAAGCTATTATTGGCTTGAAGGCAAAATATATTATCACACGAACTCATCCTATTGACAATGTAGTGAACGTGTGTTCAGTTACAATGTAGAAAATGGGAAAATTTGTGTCATTTGTTTAATCATAAATTTAGGCAATGATTTCTATAATCTGGATGTTATTTGTCTATCCATGAGATATGCAATTCGATAATTAATACGGAAAATAACTCGAAATATTACATGGATGTCTTCTCTCTCATATAACGAGAGACAAATTTGTAAACATACATTCTTATGAATATGTCTAGTATTAAGTGGATTGTATTTGTTGCTCTCGCAAAGAATTACCATGATAGTGTTCGATAATTAATATGGAAAATAACTCGAAATATTACATGGATGTCTTCTCTCTCATATAATGAGAGACAAATTTGTAAACATACATTCTTATGAATATGTCTTGTATTAAGTAGTGTATTTGTCGCTCTCGCAAAGAATTACCATGATAGTGTCTTGTTAATTGTTCTCCTTGTATTGAAGCAGAATATTCCCATCACAGTCATCACAATAAGTTGTTCTTTTCTGGCCAGCATTACAATAGGGAAAATTACAAAAAAAGTCATAAACCTATTATAATTGTGTCAATTCAGTTCTAAACTTTTTTTTTCCGATTGAGTTCTATACCTTTTGCATTGTGCCAATTCAATCCATTCGGCTAATTTTGGTTGAAAATCGCTGACATGGACACCGGTTGTCCTATGCGGCACAACCGGCGCTGGAGTAGCAACTTTTAATAATATTTCAATATTTTTCTTAATTTTTTAATTAATTTTTTTCTTTTCTTTTTTGCGAGGGCGAGGGACATGATGCCCTTGTCGGCTCCAAGTTTAGCGAAAAAAAGAAAAAGTAAAGAAAAGAAAAGAAAAAAGAAAAAATTACAAAAAAATATTAGAAAAAGTCTATGTCAGTGTCACCTGTGTCATGTAGGATGACCGGTATTCAAATAAGCAATTTCTTGTCAAAATGGCTGGATGGACTGAATTTGAATAAATGCAAAAGGTTTAGGACTCAATTGGCCAAAAAAAAGTTTACAACTGAATTGTCACAATTTCATATTAATTATTCTCCTTGTATTGAAGCATATTTCATCAGAATAAGTCGTTCGTTTTTGGCTAGCATTACAATAAGTTCTCGTGACATACGCAATTTGGTTTTTGTTGCCTCGCATAACGCAATAAAAAAAGAAGAAGACAAAACCTTTGATCGTTGCCCTTGTTGCACTGTAAAAGAAAGGAAATTTGCGAACTGATTTTTTTCATTTTAACACATGTATTACCATTATTTACGACTTTCTTAGCAGATAATTAGATCAAAATTTCAATTTGTCATTAAGGTTGAGACCGTCAAAGAAATAACTGGTAGTAATTTATTGTCATGTTACACAAATTAACGTTACGACAAGATCCATGGACCATCAATTGATGATAATTATTATGTGATTAGAATACTTAACCAAAATCTTTGAAATTATACTTACTTTCCATCTTAAGTGATTGAGGTGGGCCATTTCTTCGTGCATTTGACTTTTTGCTGTTTGAATTGCAATCACAAGTGTGATCTGGAGCGGGCTTAAGAAACATAAAGTTCGTGAGATGCAGACAAATTGCTTTATCACAAATTATGGATAACATTATTGATTATATCGACTTGCCATTTAAGTTATTCCCAGTGTATTATAAAAGAAAAAAAAAGGATTATTTGGGGTCTACCCTAACTACATCTAATTTTGAAGCCTTGCTCTCTCAAGAGTGTGATTGTTCAACCACTTTTCTAATTGGTAGGTTAGAAACATGGACATTACCATATTTTTATCTAACTAAGTTTGAAAGTATGTGTGGTGTCTATAACTTATAACCCATCAATCAGAAACATGGACATTACCATATTAGTCACGATCTGCCTCGGGCCTCTCTTTGGTTTTCATTCTCCGCGTGATTGTGTGTGCCTTTCTAGAGTTTATGTTCAGATTTAGTTAGAGACACCACATGCCTAAGGAACCACAAGATAAGTTCCCTCTATTAGTCCATAAACCCAACTAAACTTATATCTTGCTGTGTGTATCTATACGTGGACAGAGATAGCTCTCGATTGGCTATGGCTTTATTTATGTTGCAGAAAGAGGATCGTGCAATCCACACAATCGCACAATCAATTGAGAAATAATCGACAATTAGAGAAAATAACGAACGAAAGTGGGTCAATTTGGGTGTTGATATATGCCGACTCCGTAGGAAGAGGCAGCAATGAGTCAAATATTAACAACCAATATTGAATTCTTAAATCGAAATCCCACACACCTGAGCCCTAGATTACAGTTACACCCTTGTTACCTAATATTTTCCTCAATCTCTCAAGAGTTTTCCTTACAACACTTCCAGAGAGAAACCCTAAACATACCCTATTGTGAAATAATTGTTGTGATCCCCTGAGGTGCACCCGAGGGAGTTTGATGGATTGCGAAGCAGGGGCAAATGACCCCTCTCATGAGGTGACGCTTGTGCTTAGCATGGGCACTCCGAAGTTCTGCCGATCGTAACTCGATTCTTATTTCAAATATTCGATTTATTTTGTTTTAGGAGTTGCCACCAATCAATTATGAGCCAATTAGGGTGAGAGTCTTACTTTTGCAAAGTAGATGTTTTTTCTTTTTTATATAAAAAGATTATTCATGCAATTTTTTCAATTTTATTCTCTAACTTGCGTCTACATGTAAATGGATAAGTGTTCAAAAGAATGTTTCTGCATATATTTTTCCGAAAATAAACTGATGTATAAAAGAAAATAAAATAAGCACACGAACCATGGTAACTGGGAATCTATTCTATTTCCCAAGATGGACTTCTCAGTATAAACTCAACGTTCTTTTGTACATTTATCTTTATCTTTAATTTTCTGCAATTTATCTTTCTTACAAATTAAAATTGTGAGTAACGATTGTTCCCAGTGTATGTACTTTTAAATTCCTTGTCATTTACTTTTCCCTCCAAAATCAACAAATGTCCCTTCACAACCACCGTTGATACATGTTGATCCATCCATATTTTAAAAGGTATTTCATCAATTTGGTGAACCACCTTTGTTTTATTATAAAATTTCCATAAACTCTCTAAGTAAATTGGGGGCAAAGGCCTATTGCCTTAAAGCCCATATATTAAATCTTTGTGCACAACTATTATTGGATAGACTCATTTTATAGGTGGTACAATGCACATGATTAGTTGCGTCGCGAAAACCTAAATGCATGTATGCTTTTTCTTGAGAATTAACAAATCAAATTAACAATTAGCGTTTCAAATAGTTCATTCGTTCCTACTTATATTGGGCAATATCGACAATCAACGGTAACGACATGTCCTCTCTTAACACTATGTTGAATTTGTGTATGTAAGTGGCACGATAAATATCTGTCACACACCACACAATAATAGGCGGCCATAGTCCAACTATGGCTGAGCACAGCTCGTTTTTGCAAACTCAGTCTTTTGGACCTATCCCTATCTTCTAGTTTCGGTCCTTGCTCGAATTGTTGGCCAAAACTCAAGACATTCTCGATAGATTCAAACTATCAAGATTGAATGTTTTAATTTATCAAACCAAATGAGTTGGGCTGAGTGAAGCTCTTGATCCCAATGCAACAGATTCAATAGGTATAAGTGTAAAGCGTTCACGAGTATTAGTAAGTTGAATGGTCATATATTATTAGAAAAATTCCAAATAAAGGCCTTAAATAATGCTATTTTCTCAAAATAGAGTCAGAAATGAACAGTGTCATATAAGGGCCTAAAATGGTCAAGTCAGTCTCAAATAAGGGTCTAAACTCGCTGGTCGGCCAAATGTTCACCAGCCAGCGAGCAATTGATTTTTCTGGCGATCAGAACATTGGCACTTTTGTACCAAAAAAAAATCGTAAAAAATAAAAGGGTCAATATCACGAAAAACCCCAAATAAATACACTTGTGACAAATTTATCAAAAACTAATTTTTTGACCGTAAAAAATCTCAAATTGGTACACTTGTGATAAATTTACTAAAAACTAATTTTTTGACCACCAAAAACCCCAAATTGGTACATTTATGACAAATTTACCATATGTTAGTTTCCGTTAAATTGTATCAATACCACGAAAAATCACAAACTATTACATTTGCTACAAACGAAGGGTAAAACCCCAAACTGGTACACCTATCAACTGCCATGTGTCATCAAACTTATAAATTTAACGGAAAAATTTAACAGAAACTAACGGAGGGTAAATTTGTCACAAGTGTACCAGTTTGAGGTTTTTGGTGGTCAAAAAATTAATTTGAGGTAAATTTATCACATATATACAAATTCGAAATTTTTCGTGATATTAACCCAAAATAAAAACCCTCACATTACTTCTTCTTTCGCTTTCCCATCTTCTTTCCATGCAACTTTTCTCTCCACTCGCCCTACCCATCCAATAAAAGAAAAACAAGCATGTGACATTCTGAAATCTGACCCACTTGGGATTTATGAAATGAATAGTTTATGGACGTGCTTGTAGTTAGATCTCGCCCGGAATTGATCACTTCGGGGGTACTAACCGTTAGGGAAAGGCTAATTAGGGATTTAAATTTGTACGACCAAAGAACTCGATCGTGAACCGACTTTCGACCATGAAAATCGTCAAGGTGACATTTTGAGCCACTATAGGCCGATCCAAGGATAGCCAGGGATCAGTTCGCCACTGTCATAGTAGTGGATCGCGGGTGATTCCGCTAGACCACGAAATGAATTGACGAATGACCCTAAACCTATACCAAACGTTCGTGCCCTTCGGATCTAGCGATCGATCCTCGCGATTAAGTAACAATTGAGGTCGGCACGACCCGAGTAAACTTGTACGTGGCATGATTCAGTATCGTCCACGGGTCAATAATGCGAATTTCCCCAAAAGCCACCTGTTAGTACGAGATATGCACAAGTTACGTTATTCAGAACTTAAACATTAATTAGGGACCAAGTTGGGCATTGGAAATTTAGAAAGTCACGACGGATCATTTGGATGATGTTGTCATTCGCCCGGGTAGCCTCGAATTTGTCCGAATCCTTCAGAAAAACTGAATTTCAGCGAGAAATGGCAAATGACCATTTTACCCCTGGAGATTTGTTAAGGCCAATGTAATTTGGGAAGGGCATTTTGGTAATTTCTCCTAGCCTAAGAATTAGAGATTTTTGGACAATTTTGCCCTTGGACTTTTTGAGAAATTCCCAAATTAACCTTGGATATTTTGGAAAAGATTCAATCCGGGCCGTCGATCTCAGAATAAGATTGAATCTAAGCCGTCGATTGGAATTGTGAGGAAAGGGCAAGATGGTCAATTGGCAATTCAATTATTGGTCTTGATTATTTAAGTCCCAAACTCCTCTCTCTCTCCTCATTCCCTCTCTCTCCCCTCTCGGCAACTCCCTCCTCTCCCTCACCGAACTGACCGCCCTCCCCCTTGGCCGCGCCACCGCCGCTCGCCGCCATGCCGCCGCCGCCCATCACCGAGCCACCAGTACCCTCACGCCGCCGTCCCTCCCTCTCTCCCTTTCTTGTGGCTGTGAACCGTGGCAAGGAAGCCGTCGCTCGCCGCCCGTCGTCTAGCCCGCCGTCGCCGAGCCGATCGCCGCCGTCCGCCGTTCTCCTTTTTCCGCTCTAGCCGAGTTAGTCTAGAGTTCGGGTAAGTCGCGCCCTAAACTTTATTTAGGACTTCGGGTATCGACGGACAAATTTGAGGTGGAATCGGATTTAATTAGACGTGATTTAGGCTAAATTAGGGGCTGTTTTGGGATTAATTTAGCGGATTGGTTGAGGATTGATATTGACTGATTTTAGGCGGTGAAATGATGATGTTTCGGGGCTGAATTGATGTTGGATCGATTGCTGGAAATTGAGATTCGCTTTAGCGAGTGTATGGTCCGATTTGGAGACAAATTGTGCCGGGTTGATGTGTTATAGTGTGGCTGGTTGTTGGGGTTTGTTATGGCTTGAAACGAATATGGAAATGTCGAATTCGTGCCTATGAACATGGCTGTGTTTGTGGGCCCGTGAGTGGCCTCGTGTGTTTATTGTACCGTGATTTAATGGATTGAAATGTGCTTTGTTATGTGCACGCTCGGGCCGAATTGAATTGATTGTCAATTGGCCGTGTTAGATGCTTATTGAGCATGAGAAATGTGTGTGAATTGGCGCGTGCACGGATCACGTGTGATTGGCCAAATTATTGGCAAGTGGGTGTTGAACATGTGAATGAGCGAGAGATCGTGTGTGGTGTGGTATGTGTGATTATGGAAATCCCTGAGGCGGTACCATTACGCGGGGATATTGATCCGTCCTGAGGCGGTACGACTACGCGGGACGATGCCCGGTATTACCGGAGGACGGCCAACCTGAGGCGGTACCATTACGCGGGTTGTGTCGTAGGTGGTGGGTGTTGAGCCTGAGGCGGTACCACTACGCGGGCAAGATATACGGCCTGAGGCGGTACCATTACGCGGGCCCTGGAGTGTTGTTATGTGTTAGTCGCAATGAACCTGAGGCGGTACTACTACGCAGGTCACTGACGAGTTGAGTATGAGTTAGTCACAGTGAACCTGAGACGGTACTACTATGCGGGTCACTGTCGAGGCGAGTGTGAGATGGTCACAGTGAACCTGAGGCGGTACCATTACGCGGGTCACTGGCGAGTTGTGTGGAAAGAATGCGATGAGACCGGAACGAATGCATGAAACATAATTAGAACGTGCATGTGGTTGGAAATGGTATTGTTGTGACTAACGTGCAGGTGGCACGCTGGAAAGGCCCAGGTAAGCATAAGTGTGTGCCTGCTATGTAATGGTTGAGTGTGGTTGTGGTTGTGATTGTCTGGAGGTACGTGATAGCTTAGGTGGGGTTTAGGGTGTGTGCTTACTGAGATGTATTCTCATGGTTGTTTAAACCAATAATTTCAGAACCCCGGCCTGAGCAATGAATCCCCCACCGCCGCCGCCTAAGCATTTTGGAGTGCCGATGCACACCGATCTCAGTATTGTAGAGTACCTGATAGACGATAATATGACCTGGGTTAAGCATACGACGGTAGTTTGGGTAGACATAGGCCTACCCCTTTGGCAGTCCCATACCTACACTGCTTGGTTCTTTCGAGACGGGGTAGATGAATTTGGTCCCGTCCGTGGATTTGACGTCTCCTTTGATGGAGTTGGGGATTGGGACCCGACAGCCATACCCCCTCCCGACGGCGAATTGACGAGTCTAGAGACTAGCCTGGCACAGTCTGGACTTCAGTCGGCGCCTGCAGCACCGGAGCCCTCGGGGGCCGAGCACGAACCAGAGCCGGAAGAATCCCAGGCGGGGTACGATCCAATGGACGTGGATCTCGAGGCAATCCCAGAGGAAGAATCAGAAGAAGAAGAAGAACCCGAGGCAGAACCTGAAGAGGCCCCAGAAGATGAGCCTGAGGATGAGTCTGAAGAAGAACCGGTGCACGTACCCCCGTATGAGCAATGGATTGACCCCGAATTTGTGCCAGAGGACGAGTCTGATGAGGAGTCAGTCGAGGAGGAGCGGGACGAGGTTCCAGCTGAGTCGGGTGATATAGACTACTCGATCGAGATCGAGGCTGAGCCGGAGTCTTCAGAGGAGCAGACAGTCCAGGGGGACTCAGACTTGAGCGCTGAAAAATCAGATTCGGAGTGGATGCCAAGTAGAAGGCGTAGGGGCTAGTGTAGGGGTTGGGATCAGGCTTTTTGAGATGTTCCATTTTTGGATGATAGGGTACCCAGACTATCGATCATTTTGGATATGGGTGGTTTATAGTTCGGTGTGCATATGTATATAGTGGTTTGTAAATTGTGAATATTATGTGATTTGGATGAGAAATGAATATGTTTATTCTCCTTAATTACCCCAGTTGTTATCGTCCGGGTATTGGTGGCTTTCGCTGATGTTTTAAATCTCTGATAAGCTGAATTGGGTCGGCGATACCCTGGGACGTCGCATGATTCGACCAGAGAAGTGTGTCGCGTGCTCGAAGGGGTTCGGGGCGTGACAAAGCACAAACAAATAAGAACTCATTGAATCGAAATTGCATTTCCACCGGAAAACATAAACTTTCCAAGTAACCGACTCACTGGTGATGAAGCTGATGATGAACTCGGAGGTTCGCTCCTGCACGATCTCCTTGGTGTCCTTGGTAATCTTGCTGTCGGCGGGGAAGGCCTTCTCCATGATGCGGCTAATGTTGGCAAAAGGGAGGTACCTGTCCTGCTTGCAGATGCCGGAGCAAGGGCTGTGGTCGCCGCTGTTGTGGCTGTCACCACCGGGACACGCCAAAGCCTCCGCCATCATTACGCCCTGGATCGAGCAGCTGAAATGATCGGCAAGGTCGTGAGAAAGTTCCTTCAATTGCCTTCTCTTGCTTCTCTTCTTCTTCTTCGGTGATCATGTTTTCTTCTTCTTCTTTTTTTTTCAATAGTTAAGCTCTCAAGCCTCCGCGTCATCCATCTCTCACCACTCCTCCTTGGCATCTCACCTTCCCTGCAAGTCTCTTTCTTGTCTTGTTCTTGCAATATCTAGCTCTTCTCACCATGGCCCCTTTTTGCTCCATTTTTCTTTTTGTGCAAACAGTGAGGTTTAATCTTTTGCCTGGTTTCAGTGGTTGACGGGCTAAAATTCTCAATCCAATTTCCCCAATCTTGACACAGTCTCGCTCGACTCGCTATTCACCAGAGACTTCCCTAAGCTGATTCACCGAGAAAGAGAGAGAAATGCAAAGAACTATGCGAATGGAATCAACAACCATTCCTCCAATGACACAGGCAATCGAAATACAGAGACATGGAAACGAGAAGATAGAGAAGGGCCTTTAAGAAACAAGGATGGGAAAGAAAGAAAGAAATTTGGAAGAAAGAAGAGGAAGCACTGCAGTTTTTTATTTTTAGAGATTGCACTTTTTACATTTTTTTGGACAAAAGTGCCCCTGGTAGCCGGAAAAATCTTGTCGGCGAGCATTTGGCCGGTCAGTGAACTCAGTCCCTTATTTGATATTGACTTGGCCACTTTAGGCGCTCATTTGAAACAAATTCCACTCTGGAACCATTTTTGAGAAAATGGCCTAACTACAATCCCTTATTTGGAATTTTCCTTTTATTATCTGTTATTTGAAAAAAAAAAAAAAAAAGAATATTGGAGACTTCTCCACAAGCATATAAACGTCTCTATGTGAGCAGTACTTCATATTAAATAAAAGCAACTTTCTCTTAAAAATGAAAATTCTTTGATTATAGTTCCCTCAAGCCTTTCCACCAAACGCAAATAGCTAGATTTGATGTTATCACAAGCCGGTGACTAACAAGACTTATGCAATTTATTTAACTTAGACATTTTACTAGATCTTTTTGTAAGCACGCGAGTACACCATAGGATACAACTGTAGTCCGCTTGCAACTTGAACATAGGGTACAACATAGCATATGTGAAGTATAAGCTTTATAGTTGGGGTCTATTATCAAGACGAGCACGAAGCATATAATTTACTCGTGAAATGGGTAATCTTCATATCTAATCCTGCAATCTTTAAGTTGAATTTGAGCACCTAGGCTTACATCGCATATGTCGTACAAATGATTTACAGCTTCCAGGAGGCAATCATTGCAATCAGGTTGTGTCAATGCTCCGTTGCACGCACCATGGCCGTAACAGTCCCCGGATTGAGTATAGTAATTGTAACCATTGATCGGCGTACTATGGCACAAATCCGCTAGGGCATAACCTCTGTCAAGGTCATACCCACCCAGACGACTAAACCGCCTTTCACTGCATATATAATAAACCTCGGTTGTATCGGGAGTACATTTCACACTATTGAAAGTGCAAAAGAGCCCAATAACGAGGAGTTTCACCATATGTTGCATCGTGTTTATGATTTGGCTCTCTACTTTTACTTTCCTCAATTTTTTTCATTAAAGCTCGGTTGACATGGTCTATATAGAAGATGTTCTTCTTATAGGTTTCTCCACCAACTTTTTATTTATGAATTCGTTGGGACGCTATTTCGGATGTTATTTGTCTATGAGATACGTAATTCGGCAATTAAGACAGAATACAACTCGAAATATTCCATGGAGGTCTTCTCTCTTAATGAGAGACAAATTTGTAAACATGCATTCTTATGAATATGTCTTGTATTATTTGTCGCTCTCACAAAGAATTACCATGGCCGGCCTTACAATGTGTTGTTGTGATATGCACAATTTGGTATTTGTTGCCTTGCATAATGCAATTGAAAAAAAGAAGACAAAACCGTCAATCATTGCCCTCATTGCACTGTAAAAGAAAGGATTGCGAACTGATTTTTTTTTTTTTTCATTTCAACACATGTAATACCATTATTTACGACTTTGTTAGCAGATTATTAGACCAAATGTCAATTTGTCATTAAGGGTGAGACTGTCAAAGTAATAACTGGTAATCTATTTTCATGTTACAAAATTAACCTTACAACAAGATCCTTGGACCATCAATTGATGATAATTATTTTGTGATTAGAATCCTTACCCAAAATCTTTGAAATTATACTTACTTTACATCTAAAGTGATTGAGGTGGGCTATTTCTTCGTGCATTTGACTTTTTGCCGTTTGAATTGCAATCACAAGTGTGACCTGGCGCTGGCTCTAGAAACATAAAGTTTTGTGAGATGCGGACAAATTGCCTTTATCACAAATTATGGATAACATTATTGATTAGATCAACTTGCCGTTTAAGTTATTCCCAGTGTACTAAAAAAGAAAAAAAAAAGGATTATTTGGGGTCTACCCTAACTGCATCTTTGAAGCCTTGCTATCTCAAGAGTGTGATTTTTCAACCACTTTTCTAATTGGTAGGTTAGAAACATTGACATTACCATATTTTTATTTAACTAAGTTTGAAAGTATGTGTGGTGTCTATAACTTATAACCCACCAGTCAAAAATATGGACATTAGCATGTTAGTCACGATCCCCCTTGGGTCTCTCTCTGGATTTCATTCTCCGCGTGATTGTGTGCGCCTTTCTAGAGTTTATGTTCAGACACTTTGCACATACGGACAGATTTGGTTAGAGACACCACATGCCTAAGGAACTATAAGATAAATGCCCTCTATTAATCCATAAACCCAACTAAATTTATATCTTGCTGTCTGTATCTATATGGACAGAGATAGCTCTCGAGTGGCTATAGCTTTATTTATGTTATTGCAGAGAGAGGATCGTGCAATCCACACAATTGTGCAATCAATAAAGAAATAAGCAACGATTAGAGAAAATAATGAATGAGGATTTAAGCGGTTCGATTTGGGTGTTGGTATGTGCCTACTCCATAGGAAGAGGCAGTAATGAGTCAAATATTAACAATCAATATTGAAATCTTAAATCAAAATGTCATACACCTAAGCCCTAGACTACACCCTCGAGTGAATCGTGATCGCACGATTCACTCGTCTCTAGGAGAAAAGTGAGTGTTTTTGTCTTTCTCGAGTAGAAGTGGTCACACATCGCAAGTTCTTCAGAAAAACAGGAACATTTTTCACCCCCTTAAAATCAAACGATATGATTGTTGGAAGGCGTGGGCTCACTCATGGGCTCTAGTAGGCTAATCTCATTTTGCTGCGGGGTTGGATAAGGAGATCCACTTTACTATCATTTTTGTGTGTACGGTCGTGTCTTTAAATCCCTAATGACCTGCCAGTAAAAGTTGATTTTGTACAAGTGACGGACAATTCTATTATAATCTATGAAGGTATAGTAATGACCTACGATTCTCACCTTGGGTCTCTCTCTAGATTTCTTTCTCAGCATAACTGTGCGCGCCTTTCGTACGATCTTAGGTTCAGAGATTTTGCGCATATAGATAGGTTTGGTTACATACCCCACATGAGGAACCATAACTTCCCTCTATTGATCCTTACACCCGACTATTTTTATATCCTGCTGTGTATCTAGACTTGAACAGAGATTGCTCTCAGATGGCTATAACTTTGTTCTTGTTGCGGAAACAAGATTGAGCAACCAACACAATTGCAAGATCCATGGAGAAATAAGTGAGAAATAGAGAAAACAACACATCAAGATTTACGTGATTCGACTCGAATATTAGTAAACACCCGCTCCAATGGGAGGGGTGTCAATGGGTTGGGTCGGGTTTCCATGCAACCCGACCTGATCCAAATCATAAAAGATGTGTGGACTCTTGACTTGAACCCAACCTGAATTGAACATGACCCGAAACGCAAAAATCGGGTCGGGTCGGGTTTTCGGGGTTGTGTGTGTGTGTGTGTGTTATTTTTTTGGTTTAAGCTAATATTTGACGATGTTACAATTGACTCGAAGGTTTTCCATTTTTCTCTGAAGCCCATAAAAGAATTCTAGAAATAAACAATTGCTAAAAGTTGTCGCATTGATTTGTCTAACAAAAAAGATCCACACTTTAATGGCCACTAACAAAGAAGAATACAATTACACATAGGGTGTCAACGGGTTGGATTTCCATATGTGTTCCATATGAAAGGTTTGGTGTTGCAATCAGACTTTATTTGTTTGTGTGCTATAGTTGTAGAAACCATATTTTGACTGCATCACTTTGTTTGTCTCAAAAGATCTCTGGTGGTTTATAAATGTTAAACATGCCATCCAAGCTTGAATTTTCACATTCAAGGGGATCAGTAGATAAGATGATTAGTTCAGATATTTTGCCGATTGATGATTGCGCAAATTTGCTATTCTCATAATTTATGAATATGTAGCACACATATTGGATGTACATTCATCATCGGCTATTAATGGAGAATATTTATATTGTTAATAGGATGTATATTGCATCCAATTAAGCATAAAGAGAGGATAATTGCCTGCTTAAAATCTTCTTAGCTGAAGAAGCTTATTTGGTCGAGTTTTACTGCATGAGATTGCCATTAATATTGGAGTAGTTTATGCTCCAATCCGCTATTTTTTCCACGTTGTTGGAATCTAGCTGGAATTTATAATTGAGTCAATCAACAAAAGAGAGATTATTTTGAAAGGTTTTGACTAACAGAAACCATTGAGAAGAAATAATCTTTACTTTGTGTTTCGGTTCTAAAAATAAAAATAAAAATGAAAATAACAATATATGTGTTTCAGTTTGGTTCGTGTTCATAAACAGGAACCAAACCGAGACCATTGTGATACCCGTTTGCTTAGCTAATACCTGAACATGAAGTAGACTTGGCCCGAAAATACCCGAAACATCGGGTCGGGTTGGGTTGGGTCGGGTCGTGTTCGGATATACTATTCGGTGTTGACACCCCTGTGGGAGAGCATCGACGAAT